GGGGGGGGGGGGGCGCAGGTCATGCTGGGTGTACAGTCCCACTCTCATCTCCAGGGCCTGTTCACCCAGTGCAGCTCTGGAGAAATACTCCAGGGGCGAAGGCACAGGCTGCTGGAAGCAGAAGGGTAGCCCTGAGCGGTGGGACTGACTACAGGGTGATGTTGGGCACAACCCAACCCCCCTCCGATGCTCCTGTCCTTGCCATGATCATGGCACCCAGAGGTGATGCTGGGGTAAGAACTGAGCTTCGGGGGCACACTTGGGGGGACAGCCCTGGGAAGAGCCAGCTCTGTCTGGGACCAGAGGGCAGGACAAAGCCAGGGAGACAGTGCTACCGAGAAGCTGTGCACATCTCCATCTTTGGTGCCAGCATCATGCAGTTCCCGTGGATGTCCCCCACTTCCACAGGTGGTGTCATCGAGGTGGCCAAGGTGAGGTAGAAACCTTTTTCCTGCCCGTCAGAAAATGGCACAATGTTCAGTCCCAAATGCATTTATCTAAGGGGCCTCCCCAGGTCCCACAGGTCTGTCCCAGAAGAGGCCTGGACCCCAGTCCACGTGGTCCAGGACGGTCGTCTGGTCCCTGAGAATGCAGCCCCAATCCCCATCTTGTGCTCAGTGGGGCCCAGTTCATCAAAGGTGGGGTCACGTGCAGAGGGGCACAGAGTGTGGCACCACAGAGGCTCAGGGCCAGGGCCCTCAGGCCATGAAGAGGCGCAGTGTTGGTCCAGGCCTTGAATGAGCCCTGCCCCAGCTTGTGGCCTTCCATGGTCCATTCAGGTGGTGGCAAATGTCCAGATGAGAAGGGCAAGGGCCAACCTCTGCCATGGCATGACTCCAAAGACTCACAGAGCTTCACCTTGATTCACCTGGGCGCAGGGTGAGGCAAGCTGAGCTGGACACCCAAAGGATGGTCAGGGAGGCCCACAGAGTGAAGACAGGGGCATCTGAGGGTGGCCGCTTGGAGAGCCATGGTAAGAGGACACAGGGGCTGTGACGTGGGGGGAGGGTGTTGCGAGGGGGATGGAGGCAGACTGGTCTGCAGACAGCTCCTGTGGCCTCAGTCACTTGGGTACAAGGAGAGGCTGGGCAGGGCAGGTAGGGGGTAGACGAGAGCCCCAGCCATGAGCCTCGGGGTTTCACAGGGCCCCCCCACTTGATCCATTGCTCCACATTGATGGCCTCTGGGCCCTCCCAGCTCCAATGACAAAGGTGGGAAAGTGCTGGGCCCTGCCCCAGCCAAGACACAGAGGAATGACATCAGGGCGACGTGCAGTCCGGGGAGCAGGGCGTCTACCATCGCGTTTTATTTTGCAGGGACTGAGCCTAAATTAACCAGAAAGAACAACAGTCAAAGGGGACTCCACTGCTGGGGGCCCAAGGGCTGGTTTATACTAAAAAAAAGCGAGGGTGTCCCCAGGGGCTGGTGCAATCCGACACAGAAGGAAAGGCTTAGTGAAGTTTCACTTTCCTCTTCTGGCCACCGTTCTCTCCCTCCCAACATTACTTTTTTTCCTACAACCAGTGTCAGAAAATAGCTGCTGGCTAGTTGGGGAGGAACATTCCCAAGCCTGGGAGGGGCGGGCTTGGCAGCCCCCTCACTAGGCCTTGAGCCAGTGTCCAAGGGTCAGGACACCACGGCTTGTTTGCACCCAGGCCACTGGGGCCCGCTGGCTGTCCCAGGGCATCTGGAAGCCAGGGTCCCAAGAAAACCTGGCTGGTCTTGGTGGGGCCGTGTCTACGGGCTATGTAGACTCTCTGGGTCAGTTTGCTGACCTGTCATAGGGGACAGGGGAGCTACACCCCTAACCTTCCCCCAAGGCCCCATCTAGCCCTAAAATGGTCCAGTTCTGGGATCTGGACTCTGGAAAGAATACTGTCCTGCCCACCTTTTGGGGCAGCCACGAGGATGGCAATGAGCTGGTGTGGAGAGAGACTTTGCCTTGGAGGACTGAGCAAACTGGCATTTTAATAATTCCTGCCCAGGAGTGAAACCAACCAGGGGGCTCGACCCTTTCCTGCTTTGTAAATCGACCTGAGAGCACAGCACAGAGTGAGCCTCCACCTCGTTCCTTGAAGGATCTGAACGACCATTCCCACCGAGAGGCTGAAGGTGTCCCACCTTCCCTCACATACACCCTCTGCAGAAATGCCTGCTGGCTGGGCTGCTTCCATGCTTGGTCCCCACATGTGGCCAGTGGAGGGGGTCCCAGAAGAAAGCTGCCTGATTCCAAACAAGCTTGGATGTTGGACTAGCCCCTAGACAGAAGCTGGCCTAGAAGTTCACTGTGATCCCACAGGACAGGGACACACAGGCTGTGCTGAAGGACCCTTCCCTGGGCGAGGGGTGTCAGCTACCTCCCTGCGCGGAAGGAGAACCCGCAGCAGCTTTCCCTCGAGCTGGGTTTGGAGGGAGAAGGGGGAAGGAACCATCCGCAGGCTGGGGAGGTGCAGTTCATGGGACACCAAGAGCTGGGGCAGAAACGACATTCCAGAGGAAGGGTTAACAAAGCAGAAATGTTTATTAGGCACCTGTTCCTCACAGAGGAGCAAGACCCAGGATAGGGAGCGCCTGTGAAATCTCTCGAGGTTGCAGGAGTTTCTCCAAAGATTCTGGAGAATGTGGGTGCTCAGAGACCACCCTCCCCCATGAAGAACACTATTTGGCTGGAGCGTGACCACTGGAGGTAACCCCAGTATGAAGCTGGAGCTGGCTCCTCGACTCCACAAACACTGGGGAGTGGGTAGGGGCACCTAGGACACCCACCTAAACCCTGGCCATCAGGGAGGGCCTCACAGCTGAGGCATGAGCTGCCCTGAGCCATGGAGGCGGAGTGGGGAGCAAGAGAGCCCGGGGCTAGTGGGCAGTCCCTGGCCCAGGCCAGGTCCCCAGCGTGCTCCCCACATCTGCCTGCCACCTCCTGGCGCCAACTCAGTCCCACACGTAGGGGTTTCTAAAGACCTGAGAGTTCTTGTCATCTTTTGGCTGTGTGGCTGCCTGGTGGCTCTGTACCGCATACATGTCTTCAGCCCGCAGGGTTGAGTTGGCACTGCCCATCACATGGCTGTTGGCAGTGGCCCGTGGCAGGATGACATCATAAGGTCCCTCGGGCTGGAAGAAAGAGCAGGCAGTCTCACAGCCAGGTTCCCCCAGCCCAGGCGCACAAACACATGGCTTCCTGCAGGGCGGAGCCTGCCAGCTCCATCGCCCCCGCCAGGTCCCAGAGTGAGGCTGGGACAATGACTCCACCTCTGGAAATGGAGGGGCCAATCTCTGACCTCTAGCCCTTTATTTCACCAGGCAGAGGGCCAGGCCTCTGGGCCTGCGAATAAGGCCCCAAGGATGCTCCCGGACTTCGCTCCATTGGCCTTTTCAGAAGGAGCCTCTTCTCAAGCCCCTCCTGTTCCTCAAACCTCGAGCTCAATGGACAGTGAACCACTCAGAGCGGCTGTCACCTGTCCAGAGCTCCCAGCCTCCCTTCCTCCAAGACTTTTACCTGAGACCCCCATCGGCCCTACAACGCCCAACAGCACCCTAGCTGCTGGCATGCCTGGCCGAGGACATGCTTGCGTCAAGCCCTAGATGTGCCCATATATTTCTCAGCTAAAAGTCTGGGCTGGCCTGTCTGATTGGAGACTTAAACTCCCAATGCTTTTGGGTTTGAAAATTGTAAGTTTTGGAGACTTCAAACCCAAATCTGCTGCCTAGAACATGGTTCGAGCTGCAGCGGTCCTGCTCTTGAGTGGCGAGACACAGCTGAGGGATGCAGAGGATCCTGAGGGCTCCAGCTCCCAGCCCGGAGAGAGGGTAAACTCCTGGCCCAACCTGCCTTATCCCAAGGGAAAGAGCTGCCGCCAAACCCCTGCAGCTCCAGGGCCCACGCCGCCCACCTGGTGGTCTCTGGCTGCCCCTCCCCTGGCAGCTCCTGGAACATTTCCATGGGTGTCCATGGGTGTTCTCAAACCTGGGAGGGCATCAGGTTCACCTGGGCTATTTAAGCCACACCTACACCTAGTGATGGGTAGGTGGGGAGGGAGGAAGCCCTGATCAACAGTGTTTGCAGGTTTCTATAGGTAGTTACTCCCATCATGGCAGATTCTAAGTTACCAAGGTGATGTCACTGGAGAGATGCTAACCACTGGATTCATCACAGCATTGGCCCCACCCAACCTGCATTTTTAGCAAGATCCCAGGTGATGGTAATGCTGGAGGTCTGGGGACCGCATTTTGAGAATCACTGTTTTTGTCCAGATCCCACCACCCCCTGGGAGTGAGGGGTGGCAAGCATGGAGCACCTTGGGTGGCTGGGGCCCAGCAGGCTCAGCTCATGTTTGGAAGACTCCTTTGCCCATCTTGGCTCCTGATGGCCGCAGGTTCAGGCTTAGGGAGAAGGGCTGGGGTTGGAAGTTTCAGGGATCTTAGCTTCACCCTGCCTCAGGGCTCCCAGCAGGAGGGGGTGAGAACACCACCCTGCTGACCTCCCTCCTTCCTGTTCCCAGCATCCTGCCAAGGCGGGTCACTGACCTCTCCCCACAGCGTCTGCCAGCCAGGAGGAGGAACATATACGGAGCAAGTGAATCTAACCCACTGTCTTCCTGTTCCCACCCCCTCCCCGGGCTAATGGAGCATCTGGTTCCCAGAACCCAGGGGAGGTGTGAGGTTGAGAGCCGCTGCCTGCTGGCGGGGGAGGGGAGCCTCTCCTGAGACAGCTGTGGCTGAAGTGTAAATACCCAGACCTGCTACTTGGTCCCGTCCCTTTGGAGCCACCAAGGAGGACACCCAGGGGGCTGAGGCCCTCCTCTGTCCCTCCCTAAGCTTCTGAGGGTGAGGCTGGTAGCTCCCACCAGCTCAAAGAGCCCATTCAGCCCTGGCTGGGTTGGCTCAGTTGGTTGGAAGTCACCGAAAGGTTGCTAGTTCGATTCCCGGTCAGGGCACATGCTCGGGTTGCGGCCTCCAGCTCAGGTAGGGACGGTGCAGGAGGCAGCTGACTGATATTTCGCTCTCATATGGATGATTCTTTCTCTCTCCCTCTCCCTTCTCTCTCTCTAAAAATCAATAAAATGTCTTTAAAAAAAAAAAAAAAAAGGAGCCCGTTCAGCGTTCTCCACAGCACGCAGCCCCAGTTTACTGTGTGACACCCAATGACATGGGGCGGGCAGGTCCCCCCGAAACATAACTGAAGGCAGTGGATACATCAACTCTAGGAAAAGGGCACCAGGAGCCGGGGCTCTGGGTTTCCCGAGGCTAACGCACCGAATGGAGACACCTGCCTTCTCCCACCACCTGCACCTCACCCCGCACCAGCCGCACGGGTCCTCTGCCTGCCCACTGAGGCTGGGCTCCGTGCCTTTCAGCAGGGTTGTGGGGACTTGAGGACACCACTCACCGGGCCTTTGTGCATCAGGGCCATCTCGGTGGGCTGGTACACACTGGTCAGCAGCTGCCCGTTGTACCCACTGTATGGTGACACTGGTCTCTTGGCTGCAAGGAAACGAGAGGTTTAAAGGCTGGGTTCTCAGCTCCCTTTCCCAACTGAGAGCAGGGCTCCCCGGAGGCAGGGAGAGGGGGCTAGGCTTCCAGGGGTAACATCTAACCCAGGAGGGAGCCTGGCGAGGGGTGGCCAGCTCGGGGGCGAGGCTGTAGGTGGGGGGGACCCTCTGGAACCCACACCCCTTTGCTTGGATGCATGGGGAGCATGGCGCTGCTTGCCTTCCCCCTTGGACTTTCCTGCAGTGTGAGGACCCCCCTTCATCCGTCAGTTGAGAAAAACACTCCTGTCAGCAACCTTCACATCCCCACCCGCCCTCCAGGGCCAGAGGCCACGAGGGGCACCTGGGCCTCCGGCTGCCTTCCAAGAGGGCCTCCGGCTGCGGCCGCCCCCGCGCGGGCCAGCTGCCAGGCGCTGGGGTAAATAGAGCAGCGGCCCACGGCCCAGGCTCCAGGGCAGAGCTGGGTGCGACTCCCCACGACCCGGAGCCCCCCAGGGGGGCTGGAGGCACATCCTGTCCCGAGGCCCCTGGGCCGGCCTCCAGGACTATTTCCAGCTCCGGGATACTTCCCCACAGCTCGCCTCCCGTGAGCCGCTTTCCCGACCCGCTCCACCCCTGGGCACTCCCAGGGTGTCTAAGGAAGGCTGCTGACCAACCCAACCGCGGCCAGGCGTGGGCGGGCAGGCACAGCGGATGTCTGTCTGTCTGTCTGTCTGTCTCTGTCTGCCGCAGGCTGATGGCCCTGCAGCTCCAAGGGACCACAACTGTACAGTGCTTCTAAGTGCCGGGCTCACGCGATGGATTTTTTATTAGGGGGGAAAAGTAAAGGAAAAGAAACCCTCACAGCTCCAGAACCGTTTGCCCCGAGAGGACAACAGCAGGGAACATTTGCCCCGACAAACACACACGCCACCGGGGAGGAGGGGAGCAGGGCGGCTGAAGCTCCCCCAACACTTATCCATAAGCCCCTCTCTCCCGCCTGTCTCATCAATTTCCGCACCCCCAGCCCAGGTAACTCTGCTGGCCCCTCTGTGCGAGCCAGGAGCCACCTGGGGGGCAGGACAAAGGTCGCTCCTTTCCCCAAAGTGGAGCTTATGGGGATCTCGGTTGGTAGAGAAGAGGCAGGGAATTTGTTCTCTGATTCTGGAACTCCCCGGCTCTGACACTGACCTCTGGCAGGGACCCCAGAGTTGGCACTGACAATCAGGCAGGTAAAGGCTTAATAAGCCCCCGAACATCTTGATCAGCACAGTCTGGGGGTGCAGGTAGGGCTCAGACGAACCTCCGGGTTCCTGGCCATGTCAGATGAAGGGGCTGTAGCCAGCCAGTGAAGAAAGCATTCAATATGCACGCACAAGGACATATCCTGAGAGGTTCAGCTCCTGGCACACAGCAGGCGCTCAATAAATGCTAGTGGCCCTCACAGTTTACAAACGCTAGAGAAAGACTCCTTCCTTTGGGAGCTGGAAGCTCATCTGGACAAGTCTCCCAGAGAACGGGCTACCCACTCCTGCTTCCCAAGCTGCTCCCTGGGGATGGGGGGGTTGTCAGAGGGGATCTTGGCACAGGTTTAAAAGGCTTCACTCCCCTTCCTGCCCCTTCCACCCCCAGCCCCACCACGGAGAGCTGGGCTCGGCCAGGAAAGCCTGTCCATTTAACAAAGAGCCTGGGCAGCAGCTCGGGGCCAAGCGGGCTGGATAGTGGGGGTGCTTTAGATTGGAATGTGGCATGAGTGCTTTTATTAAAAAGAAAAAATTAGCCCTAGCAGATCTTGCTCAGTGGTTAGAGCATCAGCCTGTGGAGTGAAGGGTCAAGGGTTCGATTCCCAGTGAAGGGCACGTATGTTGGCTGCATGCTCGATCCCTAGCCCCGGTTGGGGTACTTGCGGGAGGCAACCAATCGATGTGTCTCTCTGACACTGATGTTTCTCTCTCTTTCTCTCTGTCTCTCCCTCCCTTCCACTCTCTCTAAAGAAATCAATGGAAAAAATACCCTCAGGTGAGAATTAACCAAAAAAGAAAAGAAAAAGTTAACTGCAAAGACTTTTAAAGGAAACTAAGATGACCAGGGATGTGCACATAATAGAAAATCAAGTTTTGGAAGGATGATTATAATAACAAAGTAATAGTAACGTGCACAGCTAACAGCTAATATTCCGAGAGCACCTTCCGAGCACCAGGCACTTGCCTTAGCTCATCCTCACCAGGATCCTGAGGCAGGATCCATTTTCATCCCCATTTTACAAAGGAGGAAACTGAGGCACGTGGAGATCAAATACCAGTCCACAGTCAGCTGTGGGGATGGGACAGCAAGGACCAGGGTAGAACTGGGGTAACTGTGGGAGAAATTTCTGTAATGCTAGGGATTTTATGGTGAAAAGATGTTCATGAATTACATGGCTATAATAAAAAAAAATGTCCAAAAATGGAATTTAGGGATGTTAACGAAAACACTATGGGTCGCTGCTGGAGACCAGCCCCCTGTCCCACCCTAAAGGACCGGGAAGATGGGGGGCGCCCCATGGCCTACCTGCGGCCGGCTCATCCATGGAAAACGCCTTGTTTTCCACAAACATGCTCTGGCCCTTCTGCTCTTTCAGGATGGTCTCGTACCCCACGCCCCGGGTGGGGTACAGGTCCCCCTGGTAGCTCTGCTCCGGGCTGGCCTTGGTCACCTGGGACACCTCAGGGATGACATAAAAGAGCACAAAGGCCCAGGCGTTGGCGGCGAGGGCGATGGCCAGCGTGGGGTCGTCCCAGGCGGGCCTGCTGCGCTGCCGGTTGCCGTAGGTGTACATGACAATCCACACCACCCAGACGGCGATGGACGTGGCCGTGGTGAGCAGCACGAACACGCCGTGCTTCCGCCAGCGCCGGAAGCGGCCGCACAGGGCGGGCCAGGCGCCCGCGAAGGCGCCCAGCAGCAGCAGCATGACGTAGATGAGGGCCATGACGAAGTCGGCGTTGGCGATGTGGCACGGGGAGGGCGCCGGGCCCGGGGCGCTGCCGTTGGCCGGGGGCCCGTCCTCGCCCGCGCCCCGCAGCAGCGTGAGGATGAGCCACTCGGTGTTGATGATCACCTCCACCAGCGTGAGCAGCAGGGCGGCGGCGAACACGGCCCAGCCCGGGGGCGCGCGGTTCTTCCGGGCCAGGGCGTTGAGGGCGAAGACGTGGGCCACCAGGCAGGAGAAGCACACGGCGAACAGGACCCCAAAGAGGAACCGCCGAGAGGCGCAGGTGGCGAAGTCCGGCTTCACCACGCAGGCAAACACGAGGCAGAAGAGGCCCAGGGTCCCCAGCAGGAAGAACACCTGGGTCCCCAAAAGGCTCCGCTTCTTGGTGTCCTGCACAAAGGGGAGGCTGGCCACGAGGATGATGGTGAGGACAAAAGTGGTGACCACACCGGCCCCAGCCACTGCCTCCAAGATGATGCCCCAGGCCCCAGATCGGTCACACAGGTTATAGTAGAGGGGGTTGAGGTCGGGGCTGCAGCCAGGGGGCGCACGGTTCTGGGCCTGCGCCCCCGGGAACAGGAAGAGCAGCAGCCCCAGGCAGGTCAGCGAGGCTCCGTGGGTGGCCATCCTGGCTCCCAGGCCGGGCTCCCGCTGGGTCCCTGAAGACAGAGGGAGAAAAGGCAAAATCAGTCCTCCGAGGTCAGGCTCTGACACTGATGCTGCACCGGGGCAGACAGGGCAAGCTGATCTTGAGATTGTCCCCCTGGGCTTCAGAATCCTTCTGAACACAGAACTCCTGGGAAGCAAATCAGCTGATCAGAGAGGCAAATGACATGAAGCCCATTTGCCGTCCCTGTTCCTGTTCAGAGAAGTGGGAGAAACTGTCATTGAATTTTCAGGTCCCACTTCCCCTCTCAATCATAACCTGGGTCCAAATATTCCCTGAGCTCTTGCAGCCNCGGCGATGGACGTGGCCGTGGTGAGCAGCACGAACACGCCGTGCTTCCGCCAGCGCCGGAAGCGGCCGCACAGGGCGGGCCAGGCGCCCGCGAAGGCGCCCAGCAGCAGCAGCATGACGTAGATGAGGGCCATGACGAAGTCGGCGTTGGCGATGTGGCACGGGGAGGGCGCCGGGCCCGGGGCGCTGCCGTTGGCCGGGGGCCCGTCCTCGCCCGCGCCCCGCAGCAGCGTGAGGATGAGCCACTCGGTGTTGATGATCACCTCCACCAGCGTGAGCAGCAGGGCGGCGGCGAACACGGCCCAGCCCGGGGGCGCGCGGTTCTTCCGGGCCAGGGCGTTGAGGGCGAAGACGTGGGCCACCAGGCAGGAGAAGCACACGGCGAACAGGACCCCAAAGAGGAACCGCCGAGAGGCGCAGGTGGCGAAGTCCGGCTTCACCACGCAGGCAAACACGAGGCAGAAGAGGCCCAGGGTCCCCAGCAGGAAGAACACCTGGGTCCCCAAAAGGCTCCGCTTCTTGGTGTCCTGCACAAAGGGGAGGCTGGCCACGAGGATGATGGTGAGGACAAAAGTGGTGACCACACCGGCCCCAGCCACTGCCTCCAAGATGATGCCCCAGGCCCCAGATCGGTCACACAGGTTATAGTAGAGGGGGTTGAGGTCGGGGCTGCAGCCAGGGGGCGCACGGTTCTGGGCCTGCGCCCCCGGGAACAGGAAGAGCAGCAGCCCCAGGCAGGTCAGCGAGGCTCCGTGGGTGGCCATCCTGGCTCCCAGGCCGGGCTCCCGCTGGGTCCCTGAAGACAGAGGGAGAAAAGGCAAAATCAGTCCTCCGAGGTCAGGCTCTGACACTGATGCTGCACCGGGGCAGACAGGGCAAGCTGATCTTGAGATTGTCCCCCTGGGCTTCAGAATCCTTCTGAACACAGAACTCCTGGGAAGCAAATCAGCTGATCAGAGAGGCAAATGACATGAAGCCCATTTGCCGTCCCTGTTCCTGTTCAGAGAAGTGGGAGAAACTGTCATTGAATTTTCAGGTCCCACTTCCCCTCTCAATCATAACCTGGGTCCAAATATTCCCTGAGCTCTTGCAGCC